CACATTCAACAACACTAGGGGATAGGGTGGCAGCCTTGTACTTCCCACTGGGGGTCTTGTAGTGGGAGCGGTATGCCTGGGCAGTGGCAGAGTCGGAGAGGTTTGCCGTGCGCGCAAAATTGGCGGCAATTGTGCGCAGGTCGGCGTTCACCTCGAAGACCTCTGTACCGTAGATGCTGGTCGGATACTGGCCTGGGAATTCGGTACCTTGCGCGATATACCCGGTGGAAAAGTTGCTAGGAAGTTCGCGGATATCAATTTCATACTGCAGCGCGACCTGGACTGCGTACCGAGCAAAGGCTGCGGATCCCGTGGTAGCTCTCTTAGGATTGACGCCAGCAATGCCCGCGACAAAGAAGTAGGTTTGCGTGAGATCAAAGAGAGAGGAGAAAGCAACAGATGTGACAGTCGCAGCAGCATTGATCTCGCCTTCTCCCGTGATGAGTTGGCAAACATCATAGTCCTCGGTGCAGAAGACGTCCGGGAACAGTGGTGAGAGACCGGGAATGGTGATATTGTGGGAAAGCAGGTCGAATTCGGGGATGTTCCACCAAGCTTCAGCTTCAGGTGCAAACTGTCGTAATCTATTAGCGACATTGCATTTCTTTTGGCGGAAGCGCATACCATTGACACAATGAACACCTTCGGGGCAATCGCTCCACGGTGACCCTGCTGGGCGGTCCCAGTAGCTCCGGCGCATAATGAGCTGCCAGCGAGCAGAAATGAGGCCGTCAGAGTCTGAAGAAGGTGCATGGTGAGGGGAGTTGAAGATGGAACTCTGTTCTTGAACAAGCCGAGGCCTTTTATTTGTAGCTCCGTAGAGCTGTGAAGATTTGGTACGGAATAGCCCTTGCGTCTTTCCCGCTAAGGATGGAACATTGCCGATCAGTGGACATATTGGTACCTGATTCGGAGAAGATCCGCACCGAAACGTGGAGCAGCTTGCCCCAAAAACGCCGGAGATTCTCCTATCGCCCTTTCTGACAGAATTTTATTCGTCCGAGGTAGATGGAGAACACAAGCCATTGATACCTGGGTTTTCACTGGCCCTTTGAACTTGAATGTGGGTCGACAGTGATAGGGTTTCACCTATTATTTTGATGACTGTTGCTTCTAAAGCATCGGAGCTTGCCGGTGAACGTTGAAAGAGATTCAGAAAAAGAACGAGCTCGATGGTTTCACAGTTCTTTAAGATCCTTGTTGTGGAGCGTTGTCGAGGGATACTTGGTACTCGCGTTGTACCAGTTGACCTGAATGACTGCCCATTGTCATTCTGCTCGAAATATCGTGTTCATCGAACTCAACATCTATGCCATATCCGGGATCCATCTGGTCGAAGGCCTGCTCTGTGTTAGACGATGAAAGGGAGCAGAATGTAGGATGAGCTTACCTTTCCGGAGACTTGTTTACTACGAAATACAGTTCACAAAAAATAGAACACTCGTCGATCAGGCGAATAAGAAGCATTAGATAGATGCAACGCAAGCCAATTCCCTGAAGTATAAGTCCACAGAGGGCACATGACCAATTATAATCAATTTCAACAAATCGTAGTGAACTACCTGCTGCTCAATCATTCAGACTTCCACCACCATTTCATGACATCGCCGAACACCCTTGCTCGTACGAGCCACATGATGATTGAAGGAAATGTCGAGGATAGAAGACCACAAGCAATCGTGTGCAAATTGCGGTTATACCTGAAAGCCAGCATAAGAAAACGAAGTCAAAGTCAACTTTCCCGAGTCCGATACGACCTCAATATCCTCCGCATCTTGATTCGGGTAGATTAGGGCCGACAACGCTGCAACACCACCGTTCACAAACGTCTCAACCGAGTTCCAATCGACGTAAATTGTAAGCTGGACCGTGTCCCCACCTGCAGGATTTGTCGCAGTCCGTGTCACGTCCCAAATCTGTTTGGCATCCGATGTCAAAACATCCGAAGCGGAGCCGTCAGAGTCCCTGACTAGGAAGAGCTGGGAATTGGCGAAGTCGTAACCAACTGTTGTGTTGTAGGTTCCATCGGACTTGACCCGGAAGTAAACCGTGTTGCCATCATCACCATCGGCCTTAGATACCGTTGCTTGAATAACATATGCACCTCCGGCGAGATCAGCAGGAAGCGATGCCGTTGCCGGGTCCGTTGTTATTTCCGTCCCATCAGCGGAGACAGGGCCAGCAAATAAGGCTGCATAGCCTGAGACTGGAAGGCTGACTAACATGGGAGTCCCATTGATTGTCTGATACTTGATCTCCCGCGCTAAACTTTGCTGTCCCTCGAAGTCTCCGTAGTAGGGCAGATAGGAAGCATAATTCCAGCTATTCATCCAACCAATAGCATAGCGGCTTCCAAATTTGTCGTCTGGATTTTCCCAGCTGACAGTGGCGTAAAAGTCCGGACCTTCATCTAACCACTGTGGAACGCTGGTCGTGGGTGTGAAATTGGTGCCATCCCATGTTCCAGACCAATAGGCGGTACCTGTTGTCTTTCCATAATTGTACCCATTCGCACCGACAGCGAGGACCCAGCCACGTGCCGCTGCGTCGCCGTCAAGGTTGAGCTGGAATAAATCCGGGCACTCAAGAGTACCCAAGTCGACACCAGAGGCTACTGGCGAAAAGGTCGAGACGAACGTCCAAGTCTTGAGGTCCACTGATGTATAGAAACCAATATAGGTTCCTTCTGCCATCACAGTAACCCACTGTTCTGTGTCTTCGTCCCAGAAGATTTTGGGATCTCGAAAGGCTGGTTTGTTGTCTGCGTCCGGGTTGGGCATCACGGGATTTCCCTCGAATGAAGTAAACGTGTATCCCATGTCGGTGGAATAAAATAGCGACTGCTGCTGAACACCGTCTCCCATCTGAGTAAGGATAGCAACAACAGCATTCTCGCCGAAGCCGGCCGTGTTGTTCACATCAACCACGGAGCTTCCAGTTTCAATGTCGCCCAGATCCACGTCGCTGACAGAGTTGGGTTGATACTTCTGAATAGCCACACCCTGATGAGTCCATTGAACCATATCGGGGCTTGTCATATGGTACCATTCTGTCCCACCCGTGCCGGGGTTGGAGCTTATCCAATCGGAATTCCAGAGGTAATAGAGATGCCATTCATCCCCCACGTAAATTGGGCGTTGGGGGTCATTCATCCATTTTGTTTCCGGTGTGATGTGGTAGCTTGGTCGCGTCTGGCCAGAGACGGAAGGAACCATTGCGGCTAGCAGTATAGATGATGCTAGAAAAAGGCGAGGCAGCAGCCTCTTCGATGCAGTGGGAGAACTCGGCATTGCGATATGAGCAGAAAAAATGGTTATTGAAAGGAAGATCTATTGGCCGGAATGCCAAAGATGACCTAGATAGAAGTTTAGGAACATTCTTTAAGATATATATACTATCCCTACTATCCTCCTGTCCTTAGGAATGATATCTCCTTGCATCAAATAAATGCCTGAACGATCATTCCATTGCAGGAGACTAGTGGATTCAGTGAAGTCAGGTGGAGTCGAGTGGAGTCAAACCGCCCGTCCCGCACGAGTTTATCGGAATTTCGCTCAGCCCTTTTTGTATTTGACCTTGGCTTCTTCGAAAGAGTTTGTGGTTGTGCCGTGGTATGCGCCACGTGGTATACAATTGAGTTGTGCCGAGGCTGGATTATATGAAGTCTGCTTATACGGAGTACTATTTCTCAAACTCCGTAGTACCACCTAGTGTCCCATATTGTCGGAGGATAGCTGAACTTGGTCTAACCAAATACATAGTAGTATTCCGCATCACTCCGACCTATCCCCCCCTGCTCATGCAATCCTGCCAAAAACCAGCCACTGGGTCCACATTATGTACATGTAATACACTACAATATACGAACTCGCAGTAAAAAAGAACATCTGAATTCAGCAACTAGACACATGTGAAGGTACTGAACCCCGCAGCTGTGACCAAAGGGGCCAACATTTCATCCCGCAGGTAATTTACGCACCCGTGATCCAATTCATCACATGGAAGTTTCAACCTGTCATTATTATATGGAAGAAGAATCCGGCCTGGCATTGGGGAGATCCGTGGACGAGCGAAGACATTGGTTACTATTCAAACTCAAACGCCATAAGGCGCACTCTTGAGGCCTCGATCTCTACTCTAGTGTTTTAGTATTTGTGTCTTCACTATATAAAGGATCCGCTAATATGCCGATTGGTTCCGGAACAAGCAACCACAAAGTTAATTCTCCGCCAAGACCGCCAGTGCAATATATCGCTCTACACTATGTTGTATATTTCATTTGGTGCCAGGGGCTCTTGGTTCACAAAAATTGCTCTGATGCTTTCGGGTATAACCTCATACGGTTCTTGCCAAGTAGCCCCTGAAATACACCGTATGATCCATGGGCTCAAGTGGACACTTGGTGTTTGACAGATTCTCATAATGTAGTATAGCATTCTTTGCTACCGGTGTTTATCACGACTCATAGCCATAGTTATATCTATGTGCATCTAGTGCCTTCTTTCTCATGTTGGCGATGTTGCGGTACATAGCCAGGGAATGAGCCCTGCTCGTTCTCGTTCCTAACAAGACGTAAGCGATCCAGCTGATCCCCGCCGTGGTCGACGCGACAGGTCCCGGCGCCGGATAAATCTCGGCTTTAGTGACGTGAGGTAGCATCTAAAGCAGTACGGAGTACTTTGAAAAGAGATCCTCGCTCACGCGACACTGCCCTACCCGATACTGCCCTATCAGTGGAGACGTGCGACACAAAGCCCAGCTTGCCAAGTGGAGTTCGTCGACCTGTTCTGGAGCTAGCGTTTGAGATTTGAACCATCTCGGAAGATTGTCGGAAAGCGTGGCGCCGCTGGCGTCGGCAAAGCGGGGAAAGTTGTCTACGTACCTCGGGGAAGAGGATTTGGCCCTCCCACATGACGAGGTTTGCGTCAACCTCGGGCCCGTCGATGTACCCTGCTATACCAGGTTCTCCTTCTCCTCACTCAGCATACGCACCGCCGCGCCTATGCTGGTGTCATCAATGACTCCTTTTCGACACCTTTGGAGTTCATGCCCTGACACAGCTTGACAACCAGCCGGCACTGGAGTGCTTGGAGAGTCTCGGCACAAACACGATTGTCGAGGGTCTTCTCTTTCCAAGGCGACAGCTTGAATAAAGGTTTCTTAAGCAAACTCGCACATCCTGGTTTATGGCCTCGGTCGGAGCGTCCAGCAGGTCGGCAAGCGCGGTGGCCACAAACCTCTCAACCAAGGGTGCCCCGGCGCAGCTCGAGCAAAGGGCTCTCTGGGTAGGTGACTGGGACAGGAATAAGTCGGCCCCAACTAGACTGCGAAATGATGCTGTCGACATGCTTGGAGTGCTGCATTCGAATTTGGAGAATGTCTCGCTTGGATACATATACTCGTCTCGTCTCGACAGCGACCTCTACCCGTCGACCAAAACCGGGCGACATAGCCATGCGTGGCACAATCGTTTTAGGGCCGTTCTAGAGATGTTGAGCGATTCATCAGGGTTCATAGCGAGAGACGGATTAAGCAGCAGGTTGATGCAGTGATAATAGACCAGAGCATGCCGTCGGCGCAGGCATTATCCTCACTAGGGATATAGTGGAATCTATCACAACTCTTTTTTGTTTTGTTTTTTGTTTTTCTTTTTTTTTTTTTCCCCTGCCTCTCCTATCACGACCACATCTCTAATGAATGGAAAACAACGAGTCGGTCCAAATTCTAACCCTATTCTCGCCATCCTCCCTCCAGGGTAGAGCACTAAACTCAATCATGGGCTCATCATGTGAATGACTGTATATGACTTTGGCTGATGGGAACTCCATCCGATGCCATTCAACTCATCCCCCGTTTCCGGTGACTAGCGCAAGATCCCTGCTGCCTTTTAGCGCCATTCCGTGATTTATCATCAATTTGCGTGCCTGTCTAGTAGCTTCCCCCGCGCATTGGTCCTTTGATTGCTCAGCAGCACCGTTTTGTGCTGCTCGCACGCCCGCATCTTATTACTTTCAAATGTGCCTCCGTTGTCCGTTGCTGACTTCGTCTTGTCTTGATTCTCATTGCACAGCTATTCGCTAGAACATTCGCAGTAGTCGACTCATCTTGGATACCTACGCCTTATCAGCTACTCTGAAATGCCATTCTCTTCCCAAAATGGCACGCTCTTCGAGCAAAACAGCCAGCAGTTTGACTTCAACATGGACTTTGAGCAAGTTTTCTTCTCCATCATCCCGTCTGCCCTCTTCGTGGTACCAGCATTGTGGAGAACCTTGTCCCTTGCTCGGAAGCCCACCATCGTCAAAACTTCCGTCTTTCGACTTGTCAAAGTGGTATGCAATTTTATAGCCTCCTTCCCTCTCGATGGCTTCAAGTACAGCAGATTGCTGATGTCGTTCTAGGGTATTATTACAGCGTACGCCCTTCTTCAAATTGCGCTCGTCATCCTGGCCGCCACAGGTCACTTTCAGGCCACGGCCATGTTCATAGCGACCTCGGTCCTCAAGCTACTAGCGGCAGTTGCCATGCTGCCTCTGAGCGTCGTTGAGCACACTCGAACTCCTCGGCCGTCCATGCTGCTGATGGGCTACTTAATCCTAACGCTTCTCCTCGACGTTTCCCAGTCCAGGACGCTCTACCTGTCATCCGCCGTGTATATGGAGCGCACCTATAGCAACCTCTTTACTGCCGCTGTGGCCGTCAAAGCTGTCGTACTGCTCCTAGAATCCCAGCAAAAGTCTAAATGGGTTCACTGGGACAAAAATAAGCATAGCCCAGAGGAAACAAGTGGCATCTTGTCCCTTGGTGTCTTCTTCTGGCTCAACCGCTTGTTCCTGACTGGATATAACAAGGTTCTCTCAATCAATGATTTGTACCCCCTAGACGGCGCCATGGACCCAACAAGACTCCACGAGAAATTTTCTCGACATCTGGATATGGCCAAGATAAAGGGCGACACGTTTGGTCTCACCAAGGTCCTTATGCGCACACTTATAGGACCTCTCCTCCTTCCTATTATCCCGCGTTTCGCCCTCCTCGGCTTTTCCTTTGCTCAGCCGCTTTTTATCGAGGGGCTCCTCGACTACCTCTCGCAGGATGAGCGTAACAATAACATTGGCTACGGCTTCATTGGCGCTAGCTTTTTTATCTACTCCGGAATTGTAATTAGCTGGGCTTTTCATCGGTAAAACTTCCTCGTGGTTAAATGAATTGTTTCAGGCGCCACTAACATATATAGCAGATATTATCACCATCGTATGCGCACTATGCTAAGATCCATCCTCGTCACTGAGACGTTCATCACGGCCACAAAAGCTCGCATCGGAACCGGTGACGACAGCGCTGCGCTCACCCTAATGAGCACCGATATCGAGCGAATTAGAATAGGCTTCCGACAACTACACGATATTTGGGCAAGTCTGATTCAAGTAGCCCTATGCGCGTGGATGTTATATCGTCGACTCGGCGTTGTCTTTGTCGCCCCTATCGGCGTGGTGGTTCTCTGCTTCTTTGGCCTCACTATTCTTATGAAGTTTATTGGAACGGCGCAGAGGAGATGGATGTCCCTAGTCCAAAAGCGCGTTGGTCTAACGGCTACTGTCATTGCTAACATGAAGAACTTGAAGATATCTGGGCTCTCATCGTCTATGAATATATTTCTGCAAAGTCTCCGCGTCGAGGAGCTTACGGCGGGAGTCCGATACCGTAAGATCTATATCGGGGCGGCTCTACTTGGCTTTATTCCGCTACTTATCAGCCCTGCCCTCACATTTGCCTTTGCGCAGAGTCAATTATACTCGTCAAAGGTGTTCACAAGTCTTTCTTTCCTAACCCTCATGACTCAGCCCCTATCGCAGATTTTTCAGACTATTCCCGAAGTCATCTCCGGCCTAGCTTGCATTGGCCGAATTCAGGCCTTTATGGAGTGCGAGAGTCGTGAAGACTTCCGTAAAGTGGAGGCCTCTTTCGGTTCCGAAAAGGACTCTGTGAATCGCAAGCCACCATCTGAATCCGAAGTGGTCATCAAAAATGGAAGTTTCGGCTGGAAACACAACAAATTTGTCCTACAAGATATCAATGTCAAGGTACCAAAGTCGTCACTTACCCTCATAGTCGGACCCATTGGCTCGGGCAAGTCTACACTTTGCAAGGCGGTACTCGGAGAGATTCCTTTTCATCAAGGTGAAATAACGCTGCGTACAAGGGCTTCGTACGTCGGATTTTGCGATCAAACTACGTTTGTATTAAATGGAACCATCAAGGACAATATTATAGGCTTCTCTTCGGTAAACGAGGACCGATATGCTGAGGTCGTTGAGGCAACAGCTCTCGCCTTTGACTTTAAAACCCTACCACAAGGAGATGAGACAAACGTGGGTTCCGACGGTATATCCCTATCTGGAGGCCAGAAGCAGCGAATTTCCCTAGCACGCGCCCTATACCTACAGGCCAACTTACTTATTCTCGACGACGTCTTTAGCGGCTTGGATGCGGACACCGAAGAACAAGTCTTCCGCAAAGTCTTTGCACCAGAAGGACTGTTGAAACGCCGTCAAGCCACCGTTCTGCTATGCACACACAGCGTTCGGCACCTACAGGCGGCAGACTACGTCATTGCCCTTGGAAACGGTAGCGTTAGTGAGCAAGGCACATTTGACGCACTGATGGCTGGTGATGGCTACGTCCACCGTCTGGGGTTGAAGGGCTTGTCCGAAAGCGAGACAACGTCTGAGGAATCGATCATCGAAAACAACGCACAAGAATCTTTGTCCCCGGTGGTCAAGCTAAAACGGGCCAAGCTTGCTGTTGCCCCCAATTTGGATACGTCCCGGCAAGTTGGAGATGGCACTGTCTACAAGCAGTACATGAAGAGCATGGGATGGCTGCTCGCAGGGTCTGCCGTTTTCTTTGCTTCGCTCTGGGGTTTCTTCTTAAATTTTTCCACCATCTGTAAGTACTACACCTTTGAACCCGAAATTTATTCCACGGGGGTTCTTGGAAGCTAACGGCGTACAGGGCTCACGTACTGGGTTGAGGACGCACAATCGCAACGCCCAAAGCACCATTCCGCTTACTGGGCCGGAATATACGCGCTGCTTCAAATCGGTGCCTTGATCTCGCTCTTCCTACTTGGCGCCTCCATTTGGATTGTCTCCACCAAACGCGCTGGCGCAAACCTACACATGGATATCTTGAATACGCTGGTCCGAGCACCACTCCGTTTCTTCACTGAAACTGACATTGGTGTCACAACAAACTTGTTTTCGCAAGATTTGAATCTCATTGATACGGAGCTGCCGGATGCTACGGTCAGCACGCTCTTTTCGGTAGGCCACCGCATGACGAACGATTCAGAAGACCTGAGTCCAGCAGCTAACATAGATAGATCACCCAAGTTGTCGGGCAAATGGCTGTTATGCTGACGGCCTCTCCCTATTTGGCCATCACCTTCCCCTTCCTCGCCGCCCTGTTGTACGTGCTACAAAAGTTTTACCTGCGCACTTCAAGGCAACTTCGATTGCTCGATCTGGAAGCCAAGAGCCCGCTATAGTAAGTGAATTGGAGAATATCGTCATGTCTCTTCACTGCCGTTACTGACACACGTTTAGCACGCACTTTCTTGACATTGTTAGAGGCATCACAACTTTGCGGGCATTCGGTAGGTACCAGTTACCCAACTTCCTGCTTGTCCGTTTGATTTACTGTCTCTAATTCAACGCACATAGGCTTTATCCGCGAAGATATCCAAAAGAATGCCTGTCTTCTCACCTCGAGCCAGCGACCTTCGTATCTCCTTCTCATGATACAGGAATGGCTGAATGTCGTACTCGATGTGGTAGTCATGCTGTTGGCAGTAGGGTTGACAACGTTTGCCGTGCGCTTCCATTCCAACTCTGCTCTCACTGGTGCTGCTCTATATAGTCTTTTGAGCTTTGGAGAGAACCTCGCTGGTATTGTTCTATTTTGGACTAAGCTTGAAAGCTCGCTTGGCGCGATTGCCAGACTCAAGACATTCAATGAGACGACCAAGCCTGAAGACACAGATGGAGAGGACATTGACGTACCCGAACAGTGGCCTCAACGCGGCGTGGTGGAATTAAAGGGCGTTTCGGCAAAATATGCGTAAGAATTACAAACCACGTACCATAACCTTGGAAGATGCACCACTAACTTTATTATTAGCGCCAAAGATCGGGAAACGAGCCTTGCTCTCCACGATATTCAGCTAACTATTGGCTCTGGAGAAAAGATTGCTATTTGTGGTCGCACTGGCAGCGGCAAATCCAGCCTCGTTGCTCTACTTCTCAAGCTCCTCGATCCAATATCCACCACAGCGGAGAACGTTACGATTGACGACCTGCCGCTTCATCGGCTGAACCGATCCGTGCTACGCCAACGTATCATTGCAGTGCCTCAAGAAGCCGTCTTCTTGCCCGATGGGTCTACGGTTCAGAACAACCTTGACATTGCCGAGGAGGCCACCCCCGAGGAGTGCAAGGCCGTTCTTGAATCCATCGGCTTATGGGACTTTGTCAAGGAACGAGCCGGCTTGGCCGCAAGGATGAACGCCTCGAGCTTTAGTGCTGGACAGCGGCAGCTGCTCTCGTTTGGCCGAGCCCTTCTCAGGCGCTCCGTTCGAGAGCGCAAGTTTGGGGCCACTGGACAGCTGGGCGGCATCCTAATTCTGGACGAAGTGAGCTCAAGCGTGGATCAAGCGACGGAACGCATCATGCAGGGCAATATTAGGACTGAGTTCAAGGACTACACGGTGATCATGGTTAGCCATCGATTGGATATGATTATGGACTTTGACAGGGTGGTGGTTATGGACACCGGCGAGATTGTGGAGGTGGGCAAGCCAGCCGTGTTGGCGCAACAGGCTGGAACTAGGTTTGGTGATCTGATAAGAGCAGGAAACAAGTAAATTGAATGGTGTTGGTGCAATATACAGATGAGGAGGTCGAAATAGGAATATGGCCAGGAACCTTGGTTTTTGTTATACTCTGGTGGTAAAATGCGCTGTATGGTTTTTGTCAGAGAAATACTATTTGCACACCTCTTTATACTACTTCAGAGTACAAGTGTAGGGGCAATACTGTCAACGAACGAACCGTTATAGTATATATAATATACGGTGGTCCGAGTGATCAGAGCACATCAGTTATAGTGAATGTGACTATGTATGTAGTCTAAGCTTATCAATATTTACTCCGAGGGCCTCTAAACGCTCCAATGAATCTGCTTAAAAAGGAAATCCGGTACAGGTACATGCGTAACGTGTCTGTGGCCAAATGTCGCATATAACAATAGCGGGAAGGTCAGTTGTGGATGCGCTGATGCTGGGGCTTTCAAGCCACCGTGACTACCATACATTTAAACGTGGAGCATGACGCATGTTAAGCATGTCTACTTAGGTACTTAGAATCGAAATCCCAATAGGATATAATGCTGATCCCCGCAGATTAAATTGTTTGGTTCTCAACGTCATCTGACGTCATTTTTTAATATAGGTACCAGTGGATAGCAAAGCAATAAAATCAAGGCCAGGCACGCTCAAAGTCGTGGATTACTTTTTGCTTCCAGCTCTTTTTTCGAATAAGAGCACCCAGTTCGCATTTGCACTGCAACACAGTCCAAACAGCGTCTTTCCTCGATATACCACCAGCCAAAGAACTACACAACTCATATCTACATACCCACCATGCCTTCAATGCACGAACGTATTCGCGAGGACCTCCTCAACAAAGAGCGTGCACTCTGGACAGCCCTCACATCCGCTGATCCAGCACCAGCCATCTGGAAACTCAGCAACCCCGAAGCCTGTTTTCTATTCCCTCAGATGAATATCATCACGCTTGAGGACGAGGATGCTTTCAAGAAAGCCGTCCGGCCACCCTTTCACCGATTTGACGCCTATCAGTTCGAGGAGGTACGAGTCATAATCGTCGACCTGATGGCTGGTGTGGTCACATACAAGGTGCGCGCTATGCGCGGGAAGAAAGAATACACTGCCTCGGGCTCGACAACTTGGAGTCAAGGTTCCGATGGCGAGTGGACGCTGGCTTGTCACCAGGAAACTTTGATGTGAGAGGATTATTTGTGTCGTTGTTTTTGTATACACCCGGTTTCTTCTATACCTTTTGCGATGCGGCCTAGGGGGAGGAAATGTGATCTTGAGCGGCGAACGTTTGTTTTAAGTGATATGATGCAATGTATCACGATTCAACGAATATTTTAATGCCATGATACATGATCAATTTTATTTGAAGTCCTAGGACTGTTTTCTGGTAGATAAATGGGGGTTTAAGTGTTGTAGTGGTCAACTAACTAGCATGATGATCTCTAGTGTAAATAGACTGCGATCTACACTCAAAACTGTCGATAGTTAGACTGTTCCTATTTTATTGGCAGTATTTCAAATTTATTGCGATCGATGTATATTGTATTGATGTTTTCCTCTGTGGCTGATGTATCCCATAGTTCAGCCGTGGCGCAATTTCTGAAGCACCGACTCACTAATGCAAGCCTCCTTCCTCTACCGACAGATTTTGACAAGCCAGGGGTAGCCGTCAATCATTAAGCCCGTCAGACAAGAAACGACCCATGACACTATGAGAGCCGCATCAAACAACAAGAACCATGGGGATTTCAATGGCGATCATTCACTTATTTCATTCAGAATCTTCCGAATGCAACAAAACAAGGCCTATCATGACCCGGTTCATAAATATTGATGTGACTACAGTGTAGTGATCCGATGAAAGAGGGAGAGAGTTGTCAATTCCTAAAGGGCAGAATGCCCAACTATCTAGTTATGGGGGTTGGTGCCTGCCGCACCGGGCTGATGGTCAGGTGACCACCATGTCCAACAAATATGTATCTGTGTGAATCATTCCAATTCTTCCGATCGTGCTGGAGCATCGACTGCGACTTGACGTCTAGCTCACCCAGCGCATAGGGACGGCGCTGCTATCTAGACCGCACTCGTCATGGCCCTGGCAAGTCCTCTGATAGGGTCCCATGAGTCATGCTGTTCGTGCGGGCGCGAAACGTGCCTGGCTATCATTTGGCCTTGCGGGCGCATGTCTGGCTCTTTGAAACTCACTATGACAATGTAAGTAGCGGCTAACAGTCCACAGATGACATTGCCAGCCAGGTGATTAGTGTCGGTGTAGTTTTCACTCTCTTCACCGGTCGCTTGGTACAGTCTGTTACCAGCACTGATCTACAGGCGGTAGGCTTCGGTACTCTGGCGGACAACGTTTCTGCCGATGAGTTGGGCAAAATGTCCGGCTTCATGAGTATTCCCATTGGCATAGGAACATCGGGCGGGCCACCTGCACAGCTGGCATTCTGTTAGATGTAGACGGGTATTATGTGGCGTGGTCGAGAGTGCTTTTCGGGTTGGATATGATCCTGCGATGCCTGATGCTAGAGCGGTCTAGACATACCAGTGAACATTTACGGAGCGGGATGGGCAGGATTCAGAGAAGGAAGAATTTTCGACACCATCGCCTGACGCAGATCCACAGGTAAACAGTCAGGCTGTATCGGAAAAAACGGGTATAAAATTCCATCTATGCCTATGTAGCAACTGTCCCTTCGTTAGTGATGTCGTTGGTTATTTCTGCTACACCATTCTAACCGCTAGCTTCGGCACGATCCTTCTGCATGTCCGCGATATGTTGTACATTGCATTGGAAGCCTCAGCCTCCCCGCTGGTTTGTTGTTTGCCGCTTTCCAGGGCCAGGGCCCCGCGGTATTCTGTCGGGTGGCTGAAGGATCAGGTGGGGACTCGATACCCGATCACGATCGCTTTTGCTGTTTTAGGATGTATCTTGAAGATGGTAACCGGTGTTCCTGGGGAGGAAGAAGTTCTCTAGGCCCGCCAAGAAAAGATTGGTTCGAGCGTATGGCATAGCTATCACGTGCATCGGGGTTGTGATATGCTTCCTCAACAAGGTCCACGGTGAGTTTCTTCTTTCCGACTGCCACGTTGGGTAATGGATCATACCGGATTTGCAGCCGTTGACGAAGACGTGATGGATCCCCTTCTTAGTCTCGTTAGGTGGGAGGAGATAATGCCGGAATATTAGGTCCGAATGGCGGTTCTTCGGAAGTAAAGTCTCTAGTATCAGTGGGACGCTGTGGATGTTTTGTTCGGCCGATTCTAATAGTCTCTCGAGTACTCCGTACGGAGTACTCCGTATGGTACGGAGAAAATCGGATATCACAGGATGAATTGCGTATTGGCTTCGTATCCCCTGTCTAACTTCTTCATGTCTCACGCTAACGGGCCCAGCGGGGATATGCGGACCATATTCCCTCACCGCATTCCATTTAAAATTGTCTTGTGCCCGAACGCGTCAGAGGCATCACACGCCTCTGATGGAGTTTCGAAGTGAGAACCAAAGAATGGGCCGTGTATAAGACTATTGCCCAAATTTCAGCAGTTCGTATCTCGGTTAGAGAAAAGTAAACAAAGAAAAAGACTAAAAAGACCGAAAAGGGAAAAACTCAAAATATCGACAGGCCAGATTTCCTAAGCTTAGCGCAACAAAAGGACCGAAAGAGGGCCGATATGCACAGAAGGTTAAATGGGGCCATTATGAAATTGAGGCATCATAACAAAGATAACCCCAGACTCGAAAGTCGAAAAAAAGTTGGACGTTGGGAAGTGGAACTGGGATGTGTAAATCTAAATAACTGGGGCGACTGGCCTTCCACCGGTCTTCTAGTCGTTCGCCAGGCCAATGAAGACGAGGTTAAGCGGAAGATACACTCCGCCTTTATGGGTCCTGTTTGTAATCCAAATACTGTAACATGGATTTCTGCACTCGGGCGACCGGAAATTGGTTTTTCCATGGAAAATCGCCGGGTTGTCCCCTACTTGGTAGGCTGCATCCCGGTGCAGAATTTTCATTACGGTATTCATTGAAAAAGTCCCGTATTTTATCTGCGGATGATCTGCCCTAAATACGGGATTTGTGTCTCCCGGACGTATCCTAAGGCTAAGACAAAAGGGACAAACGGTGCTGTCAATTATTTCTCCGTCCAGGCCCCTGCCGTTCTTAGCTTCCCCCGAGCTCCTTCCCATTTGATTCAAGACTCATATTTCCTTGGATTAAACATCCCACGGACCTTCTAGTATTCCCCCAGACTCAACGCCACTCGCCAATGCCTACCCAGAGTCACAAAACAGGCACAGTGAGATGTGAGGTATACACTCGGATTTCTGATAACCATGGTTGTGACGTGAAACCTTACCTCGGAATCCACGGATTGGCAAGCCGAAGGATCCGGGGCAAAATCTTTTGAGGCTTCTAGCCTGCCCGTTAGTTTTTTTTAGGTGCATAGTCTATACTCATTCTGGATGCGAAAGCCGGAATCGTCAGTTGAAAAAAATTCTGCGATATAAGCTCATGCCAAGAGAAATTCCCTCACGGTACTTCTCTCTCTGGGATCTTGACACACACACACACACCTCCCTACTCAATACAATGGAGCCAATTCGTCCCCCACAGAATATTGCCATTATCGGTGCTGGCATCGCTGGTATTGCCTGTGCATTAGCCATATCCCAGGAGCTTTCTCCTTTCGTACCGAACCTGAAAATCACTGTCTACGAACGGCATGGTATACTATCGACGTCCGGCGGTGCCATCAATTTGACCCCTGTTGCCCAACGACATCTCGCTGGGTTAGGCGTGCTAGATGAGTTGGACCGGATGGGGTCCGAGGGCGGTGCCGACGTCGATGCCATTGAGCTTTTCTCCATGCGTTCAGGCCGTGCGATCGGCTCCATCAAATTCACCGACAACCAAGGAAAGGGGTTCGGCGGATACAAGGGCCGAAGGGTCATGCGGATTGCTCTCTCCGTAGCCATGTTGACCGTGGTGGAGCGGGCTCCGAATGTGGAGATTGTATTCGGCAAGAAGGTGATCGATGGCGAGGAATTCGAGGATAGAGCCGTCGTACGATTCCAGGACGGCACCGAGGCGGTGGGGGATTTGATCATCGGCTGCGATGGCGTGCACTCGGCGGTCCGGACCCGGTTTGTGGACGTCGGCCGGTCTGCTGAGTACACGGGGCTGTCGTTCTTGCAAGCCACAATTGACTCGGATTCAATTTCATCGCCCGCTCACTTCCGCACATCATCGCTCAATATCTCGCGACATGGCTCAATGCTTGCCAGCTATTGTGACCGTGATTCCGAACAGATCTTCGTTGCTGCTATTGTTCAATTTAGTCGGGAAGCGCTCACCTGCTATCGACTGGAGCCCGGTCAGGATTGGGCCACTCAGAACAAAATCCGCTGCGCCCTCCGTGCGGAGATAAGAGACCGTTTTGGCAAGTGTGCCATTCCCTGTATCAAAGAAATTATCGAGAGCAAAGCGGACTGGATGCTTTATCCCGTATATCAAGTTCGCCCCGGAGGGCGTTGGTGCTTGAATCGAGTTATTTTGCTGGGCGACGCGGCACACGCGGTATGTCTTAATATAACCCCCCTGTTTGTTCTACTCTAATAAATTCTACAGATGCCCCCGCGTGATGAATCGGCTGCGTACGCACTGGATGATGCGATCTTGTTCTCACGAATTCTGTCAACCTATCGTTCCGAGCCTCTAACGGAGGTTTTTGACGCATACGAGAAACTTCGTCGCAATACAATCAACCATGCATTCAAAGAATCCCGTCGTATGTGGGCACGAAACCGCGACATGGGGTTCTTAGAGGGAAAAGTGAAAGAATGGATGATGTCTTTCCATCTCAGATCCAACGAAAGCTCACGTGAGGCCGCATGGGAGTTCGACGCAACTAAGATTGCCCTTCCCACACCAGCACCCAGTGAAGACATAGTTTCATTGAGTTCATTTTTGAGAGACCGGACTCTATGAAAGAAGAAAATACACCAAAAATTAGCATTTCACAGGACTGTGGCGGAGTTTGGGTTGGCCTGCATGGACGTGAGCGTGAATTATTAATGGATACCCGGCAATTAGCTTCCCAAATATTCAATAGTATACCTATTTCGATTTTTCTGCAGAACCTTTGTCTTTTATTTATGTCAATGCTACTTTTGGGTTATCCCCATGGCTGAAGTCACTTAGATACACTCAGCCTTGGGACGGAACAGGCTCTCCCTGGGTCCATCCCGATCTACGAACATAGTTTAAGTTGAAGTTTCTTTTTCAACTTCCTCATTTATTCGCCTTGCTTCACTTATAGAATTTGCAAACCAATACCGGACAGATGGTGTAAACATATATAGATCAGCCATCAGGTGGACTCCCTTGACACGTTTCCCTTATTTTCTGGATCTCACTATTTTGAATTCATTGAGAGCTATTTTGCTATAGAGGAAGATCTCGAATTGTAAAGTCCGGTAGACTATGACACCTACGGAATATTATCGCAAGCAAAGAAGGTAGATATTTCCAAGAGACTAAACTGCAACAAATACAAACAAAATAGACACAAATTGCGCTTCTCACACAGCGATTCCCTATTTGCTACATAATTTCTCTGACGTTCGCTTAGAAGGTAAGTGTCTGACCAGCAGTACCAACAACAGCAGCCTTGACCTTAGCCGAGCCAAGCAGGCTGTAGCTGTAGGGAACAGACTTCAGGGTTCCAACTGCGGCAGTGTTTTCTCCATCACCGAAGTCATTGTCATTGGCGACAGCATAGCCAGAGTCGGTAGAGTAGAGGGGCTTCTTGCTACCAACAAAGGTGTTTGACTCAACTAGAAGCTGAGCGCCATCGCGGGTGTTGATGCCGTCGGCGACGTCCAGGTAGTAGTTGTTGTAGATGTGGCCAGTGCCGAAACGGAAGGAAGGACCACGCGAGTTGAGGTTATACCAGTAGTTGTTATTCAGGGAGATACGCAGATGACCGGTGTCCTCGGCGCTGTTGCTGTCCGAGTGTCCGATCAGGGAGGCCTTCCAGTGGTCGTGGACGAAGGTGTTGGACACAGTGACGAAGTCGGCAGCGTGGGTCAGCTTGTTCATATTAGCAATCTGTGATTTTTTCCTGGTTCCACATATTGTGATTTGGACTTACATCAATAAGTCCGTCATAGTAGTCCTTATCGTGATCCAAGTCGGACGAGACGTCGCAGTGGTCAATCCACACATTGGTTGATTTTTCTAAGACCAGTCAGCCTTCCTCCATCTCCTAGATAAATAAATATCCCGCAGCATAATGTACTCACGGACACCAATAGCGTCGCCGTTAGCGGCAAGCACCTTCTTCACACCTAGGTTGCGGATGATCACGTTGCTCTCTTCTTTGACGAGACTATATTGGGTTAGTATCATCCCGAATCCATGTTAAGAATGACAACATACAGGCCAAAGC